TGAACGAGGTAGCTTGGATGGGAAATGAAAAGCCGAGATGGTGAAAACACTCCATGAAAAGGTTAGGATGCAGATCGAAGAGAAAGGAAAGCTGATTACATCAAAAGCAAATAAAGGAAGAAGACGCGTTACATTGAGCCTGGAGATTGGGTCTGGGTGCATTTCAGAAAAGAGCATTTTTCAGAATAGAGAAAGTCAAAATTGCAACCACGAGGCGATGGACCATTTCAAATCATCGAGAGGATCAATGACAATGCATACAAAGTGGATTTACCTGGTGAGTACAATGTTTCGGCTACTTTTAATGTATCTGATGTGGTATTCTATCAATCGGATTGTGGGTTCTTTTAATTGTAATCAAGGGGTTTTAGGTTCTTCGCTAATCTAGGGTTTCTTGGTTCAATTCTTGGGGTTCGAGATTGAAAACCAGGTTAGTATTGGAGTTCTTGGGTTCCGCATCAATCTCGTTGTGGGTTTCGTAGTTTCTATTGCTACGGGTTTCGCATCGTAAAGTATATAAATATGACCTATTCCGGTCATATCCAAACCCCAGAAATTTCTCCTTGCCGATCTTGAGAAAATGCAATTATCATACATAATATTCGAATGCGGTTGTACATACACAATTCAAATTTCAATCCTTAGAACATAAAAATAAAGAATTCAACAAAAAATTAATCAACCAATGCCCAAGAAACAGAAAGTACGTGGATATTGTAAAACATACAAGAGTCTCCTGTCTCCAGCATCGGGAGATTCCCAAGTATAGAACCAAAAATCATCATCATCACTAAGAAAATGACTTGAACCGGATGCTTTAGCAATAAACAGGATGGAACGATATTCAAGGCGATGGGAAGGGAATTTACGATGAAGAGAAGTAGAGAGAGAGGTAATGGGTTCCTTGGGGAGAGGTGTTGGAAAAATTCCTACATAGGGCACACATGTATGTTTATTAGAATGTGCGGTGATAATTTAAAGTAATTTAGTCAATAAAGTGACCCATTAGATTTAATTTTGGACTAATGAGTATTAAATGTTATGGGATTGAAGTGTAGAGACCGGAAGACGTTATTTTGAATTGTTGGGGGCCGATTTGAAATAACATAGAATTAATAACTGCAAATTACAATAATTTAATATGGGGTTATGGTCCCCAATTATACGTAAGTTTTCAAAACTCTTTGCATTCCATCAACAGAGAAGATTTCAATAAGAAGATCACGTAACAATTAAAAGATCAAAACCCATTCAGAAAACTAATAACTATGGATCAAGGTACGCTTTCGCATTTTTATTCTTCTCTATATGGAGATTCTATGCATTTTGTGAAAGGATTGATGAATTTGGTTCCTTTCAATTTACTACAAGTGGTATACGAGCACTCCATTGTTGAATCTTTGACAAATTAATGTTTTAGAAATTCTGAATTTTGATCTTCTTCCATGTTATTATATGAAAGTTGACATGTCTATATGGATCAAGTTCTTCATGGAACCACGTATCTTCCATTTTCATATGCTTACAAGAAAATCAAATTTGTGATATTATTTGGAAAGATTTTATGTGGGATCCGTGTGATGTGTCAAGCACTCATGTTGGAATTATTAGAAACAAATTGGTTTTGAATCCATTAGAGGCTGTCTCTGCAATTGTTTGGGAAGAAAACAAGTATTTATTGGTTGTCACATGTGAGACAATTGAAACTGTTGAATGTGACTAATAATTGCGGCGACACTAGTGAATTCATTTATATTTTCAGATTCCAATTGTAAATGAATTGTTTGACAATGTAAATTGCGGCTGCCATATTCTAATTGTGGTACTGGGCAGTCGACTGCAGCGCAAAAGTTACAGTTTGGGTAGATTTGGGAGCAAGGGTCTGTGCTGCAAATTGGGTAATTTTAGATCCTTGCTTGCAATTTAAAATTAGGGTTAGTTATTTTTTCAAAAATAAAAATTTAAAGTCCAGTCCCTAAAGTTTCAAATCCATCCAAGTAGGACCTTTAAGGTTATGTGTTTAATAATTCGGCCCCTAAAGTTTGAAAATCAATTAATTTGGGCATTAAAGTTTTGAATTTTGCAATTAAAGCCCTCAATTTTTATAATTAATTAAAAATTGGCCCCAAAGTTTTAAATTTTTCAAAATTTGACCCCAAAGTTTTGAATTATTAACCCTTAGGTCCCTAAAGTTTCTAAAGGCATCTAATGATGCAAAATTAGTGATTCTCTTTTTCAAATTTTGGTATTAATGACTCTTTTGAGAGGTATAATATTCAAAAGTCAATTAATTGAAGCAACATATTGTCAAAACAACCTCTATTGTGAAAATTAATTATCTTAGAATATTAAAAAGTGTTTGTGTGTGTTATTCATGCATATATTGGTCCGCCCAAAGGAAAGTCAATGTTTGGCAGAATTTCACATGCACATGTGGTGATAAGTACGTGGCGATTATTTGGTTTAACACGTGATCAATAAATTGGTCCAAAGAAAAGTTTATTGATTGACATTAATTTATTGTCAATATTTGATCACTACACCAAGAGTACCGCTTGCAATTAATATTACTATCCGAAGACTTGATATTAATGTTGTGCTAGATATCTTAAGATGAGACTTGCCGTTATTTGAATTTATTGTTCATTGAATGTGAATATGATCATGCTTATTTATTTATTTTGTTCTCTGTACAGTTAATTCATCTGCTACTACAATATCTGCTGATGTTAACTCTATTTCCATACTTAATGGGACAAACTTCAAGGATTGGAAGGAGAACATTTTGATTGTTCTTGGCTGCATGGATCTTGACCTTGCACTTCAGATTGAGGAACCCGCTCTTCTTAAGAAAGAAAGTTCTCCTAATGAAAAGATGAACTTTGAGAAGTGGGATCGCTCAAATCGCATGAGTCTAATGATCATTAAGCGCAACATTTTGAAAGCCTTTAGAGGTGCAATATCCGAAGGGATAATTAACGCCAAGGAGTTTCTTGCTGAAATTGAGAAACGTTATGTGAAAAATGATGAGGCTGAAACAAGCACGCTTTTGCAAAGCCTGATTTCAATGAACTATAAGCGCAAAGGGAACATAAGGGAGTACATCATGGAGATGTCTCACATTGTTTCTAAACTTAAAGGGCTAAAACCTGAGCTATTTGATGACTTTCTCGTACATTTGGTATTAATCTTGCTTCCTGCACAGTTTAGACAATTTAAGGCCAGTTATAATTGTCGGAAGGAGAAATGGTCTCTAAATGAGCTCATTTCATATTGTGTGCAAGAGGAAGAAAGGTTGAAGTAAGAAAGAACAGAAAGTACTCACTTAACAAGCACTTCTAAAGATAAGTGCAAGAAAAAGAAAAAAGAATATGAAGCTGCTCCTAAGGGTTCAGCGCAAAAGAAACAAAAGGAAGACTGTACCAAATATCAAGCATGGCGTGCAAAGAAGGGTGCAATTCTTACTTTGGTCTGTTCTGAGGATAATTTAGCTTCAGTACCTAGAAACACTTGATTGATAGATTCTGGTGCTATTACTCACATATGTTTTTCTATGCAGGGCTGTCTGACCTACCTAAAGCCAAGTGATGGTGAAAGATATATCTATGTGGGTGATGGCAAATCCGTGAAAGTTGATGCAATAGGCATCTTTAGGTTATTATTAGGAACCGGTTATTACTTGGATTTGAAAGACACTTTTGTTGTATCGTCTTTTAGACGAAATTTAATTTATGTTTCTTCGTTAGACAAATTTGAATATTGTTGATTATTTGGAAACAATCAGTTTAGTCTTTCATTAAATTCCAATGTTATTAGTACTGGTTCATTATCTACATATGATAACATATATTTGCTTGATATTATTGCTTTATATAATGAGAGCTAGCATGTGGAATCACGTGGTACTAAAATCAAATTAAATAAAGAGAATTCAGAAAAATTATGGCACAAGCGCTTATGTCACATCTCAAAGGTTAGAGTTAAACGACTTGTGTCAAATGGTATTTTGGATTCCCTTAACTTCACAAATTTTGACATATGTATCAACTGTATCAAAGGAAAACAGACCAAAATAAGAAGATTAGGTGCTAACAGAACTTCAGACGTCTTAGAATTGATACACACAGATATTTATGGGCCATTCCCTACGGTTTCTCGGGATGGTCAATAATATTTTATATCATTCATACACAATTACTAACGTTATGGGTACCTATATCTTATACATGGAAAATTTCAGTTACTGGACGTGTTCGAGGTTTTTAAAGCTAAGGTTGAGAATCAACTCAACAAAAGGATAAAGAGCATTAGGTCCCATTGTGGTGGTGAGTACTACGACAGATATGACGGTTCAAGTGAACAATGTCTAGGACCATTTGCTAAATACTTAGAGGAATGTGGAATCGTCCCACAGTACACCATGTCAGGATCACCTAGCATGAATGGTATAGCTGAAAGACGAAACAGAACTCTTAAGAATATGGTGAGGAGTATGATTAGTCATTCCACCTTACTAAAATCACTCTGGGGGAGAGGTATTAAAGACCACAGCTTATATTCTGAATAGAACACCAACTAAGGCTGCTGCTAAAACACCTTATAAACTTTGAACAGGTAGAAAGCCTAGTCTAAAGCATTTTCAAAGTTGGGGATGTCCGGCTGAGGCAAGACTTCATAGGCTACATGAAAAGAAATTGGACTCCAAAATAGTGAGCAACTATTTTATTAGTTATTCTGAGAGATCTAGGGGATATAAATTTTATGATCCCATACTTAAGTCAATTTTCAAAACGAGAACCACAATATTTTTTAGGATGTTGAGTTTGGGGGGAAGAAAGAAGGCTAGAGATATTGTCTTTGAGGAAGAAGTTGAAGAAGGATCGATTTCGATTCCTACTATTGCTTTTAACAATGAACAGTTTTCTATATATGTCGTTGATCAATAAGCATATCCAGAACCTCAGCAAGACAATGTTGGAAAACCTTCCATCCAAAATGAGGTAATTATTTCAGAAGTATAAATTCAACAACCTCAAGAACCAATATCATTAAGGAGATCCACGAAAGAGAGGAGAAGTGCTATTCCGGATGATTTTGTAGTATTTCTCCAAGAACATGAAGCAAATAATGGAATGGTGGAAGATGATCCAATCAATTTCCATCAGGCCATGCAAGTTTCTAACTCTCAAAAGTGGATTGATATCATGAATGAGGAGTATAAGTCTATGCAAGATAATAAGGTTTGGGATCTTGTCTCGTTACCCGAAAGTATGAAGCCCATTGTTTGCAAATGGATTTTTAAAACCAAAAGGGATTCAAATGGTAATGTGGAAAGATATAAGACTCGTCTTGTGACCAAAGGCTTTACCCAAAAAGAAGGCATCGATTTCAATGAGATTTTCTCTCCAATTTCAACGAAAAACTGTTTTAAGACAATTATGGCACTTGCTACTTACTTTGACCTTGAGTTACATCAGATGGATGTTAAAACGATATTTCTCAATGGCGACATTGATGAGATGATCTATATGGTGCAACCAGAAGATTTTGTATCAGGAGACCCAAAGAATATGGTTTGCAAATTAAAGAAATCCATCTAGGGGCTCAAGCAAGCTTTCCATCAATGGTACCACAAATTTCATCAAATAATTATCTCATTTGGTTTTGAGATGAATGCCGTTGATGGTTGTGTGTATCACAAGTTCAGTGGGAGTAAGCATATTTCCTGATTTTGTATGTTGATGACATACTGGTTGCCACTAATGATATAGGAGTGTTGCATGAAACT